CTGAAGAAAATCATAATACTCAAGAAGCAATCAAGATTCTCCTGAACCACTTCAATTTGAAGATAAGACAATTCAACTCTACTGTGCATAAGGGTGTAGGAGAGTCAATGGAACATGTGAAACATCTTCAAAAGGGCCACCATGTGAGATGTCGTCAATGGCGTAATGAAGGAATGAATTCTTGACATTCATTTGATAGAATCACAAAATGCACCGACATGCCACTAATAGAATGAGCCATGTTTACATTCAACCTCTTAGTAGCCATTTGGGTACAATTGTAGGCAAATCTTATGATCATTGGTAGCAAATACAAATAGGAAGTATAGAGGTGGCCCCTGTTGGTATCATTTGTGAAGAAAGGCATAATCATAGCCAGCTAAAAACATTCATATTTATTGAATAGTCCATAAATTACATAAGAAGCAACCTAGCTGGCCATTCTTGCATTCCAAATGATGTATTGCTCATTTTCATTCAACAATCATTATAAGAATAGAAATGCAAAGGAATAGGCAACATGTTTCTTTCACAACCACTATCCCCTAGTTCAAGTTAAGGTGAATGGAGAACAACCAACTGACCTCTCTCTGAAAATGATACTTCCCGCTATTCCAAGTATAAAACGGCAGAGAATGATCTCTCTTTGAGACTAGATTCTATCACATAAAGAATGATGGCTAGACACCAATCCCCTTTTTTATTTTCAATCGAAGTGCATGTTGCGAAGCCAAAATCCCCTTTTTTATTTTCAATCAAAGTGCATGTTGAGAAGCCAAAATCCCAAGATCATTAAGGATTATCCATGAATAAGGATCACCAACCAACATGCCCTTCCTGATCAATTCCCCGTGATGGCATCAATGCAAACAACATTACAAAAACAGAAAAGGAAAACAAAACAGCTAGCATTTGGAAGCCCTCGCCAAAATAAAACATGCAGAACAAATAGGAGTCTATAGGGTAATCATACAATTTGTTCAATAAATATCATACTTTCGAACAAATACATGTAGAGGACAATATGGGTAAAACCACATAAAAACAAAAATAAAAAAGAATAAGAAGATTGTCTTGCATACTACCATGGGAGGTGCCAATATGTAGAACTCCCAAAGGAAATGTTCAGATAAAACTTGAAAACCATTGGAAAGGCAAACTATCATCATCAATATCATCATTGTCATCATCATCTAAGCTTTATCCCAACTATTTGGAGTCGACTACACGAATCTTGTTCCATCATTCTACTCTATCAAGGGTCATACCGTCAATAATATCTTCTCACTACTTCCATCCATGTCCTTTTAAGCCTTCCCCTTGCCCTTTTAGAGCCTCCCACTTGAACCAATATGCCCCTCCTAACCAGTGTTGTATTGGATCTAATTAGCACATGGCCAGCCCAGTTGTCTACTTCCCCTCATCTTATCACCTATTGGAGCCACCTCTAAGTGCCCTCGTATGTATTCATTCCAAATTCTAGCATTTCTTGTCATCACTCATCCACCTCAATATCCTCATCTCAATTATACTCTTCGTATGGAGATGTTGTTTCTTGACCACCCAACATTCTATCCTATAAAACATAGTTAACCTATAAAACTTCCCTTTTAGTTTCATTGGTATGCAGCGATTACATAAAACTCTGGATGCACATCTCCATTTTTCCCATCCAACTTTAATTCTATGTGCGACATCATCCTCAATATCTCCATTCTCCTGAATTATCACCTCAAGATATCAAAAATAATCTCTTTTAGGTATTTCTTGCTCATCAATCTTAACTACTTCCCCGTTTTCTACTCCTACTGTTACTAAATATTCATTCCATATGTTCTGTCTTAGTTCGGCTAATTTTAAAACCTTTAGATTCTAGAGCATCCCTCAAAAGTTCTAATTTTGCGTTGACACCGCCTCTAGTCTCATCAATCAAAACCATGTCATCCGCGAACTACATGCACAACAGACCTTATCCTATAGATGCCTAGTTAACTCGTCCATAACCAAAACAAAGAGATATGGGCTCAAAGCAAACCCTTGATATAGGCCTAGTGTAACTGAAAATTGACTTGTCTATCCACTAATTGTCCTCATGCTACTTAGCGTTCCCTCGTACATATCTCTCACCACCTTAATATATCATCTAGCGACTCTCTTTCTTTCCAACACCCCACCAAATTAGCTCTCTAGGGACTCTATCATATACTTTCTCTAAATCAATGAAGACCATGTAGAGGTCCCCTCCCTTCTTCCTAAGTTTCTCAATATAAACATAAATATGATTAAGAAAAAAATCAACAAAACAAAACATTTGGAACCATAGCTACTTAGAAGAATCCTTGGTAGATCTTAAATAGTTGTAGTGCCAATGTATAACTAATTTTCAAGCACTTGAATCCACTGTGGACACACTTCCAACAAGATTTACAAGGAATCCAATACGAACCCTTCCAAACATTGTGCACAGACCAAAGAGTGCTGCCCTTGTTGCTCTTAGTTTTAAAGTGAAACATCCCAACCGCTGTACATAAATTGAACACTAAGGGCTGTCAGTTCAGCAATTGGATGAAAAAAAAATTACAAACTTCAGGGCATGAGCTAGACTTTCTTCCCAAAAGTGACATTTCTTTAAAACAAGACCAGCATAACTGAGATGATTAGCACTCGATAATCAGCCAAACAGTTTAGATTGTGAAGGTCCAAAAGACAAGAACAGCATTACTTGGATGACTAGCACAGGATAAGCACCCAGATAGTTTAAATTGAGAAGGTAAAGACAAAAAATCACATTTTTCTAAATGATTGTGGATTTTTCTTTTTGGTGCATAACTCAGCGCCTCAACAATTCCTAAATATGAAATTTGTATTCTTGAATCCAGAAAACCATAAAAGAAACAAAAGAAATGGAGACACAATGAACATATGCAAATTTATTTGCTAAAGGCTAAACTAAGACATGCATATGATGCTAGTGCCTAACAACCACCAGCCAACTGCAAAAGAAAGCAGGAAAAATGGCAATAAAGTAAGATTTACATGATGAAAGGTCCTAGGGAGGTGCACATAGATAATGATATTACAAGTTACAAACACACTACCACCAAAACGACCAGTCTGCCATGTTCAAACAATCAAAAACAATACAAAATTTCATTGGTTAAGGAAATGTGTGCCTTTTGTATAAGTAATAAGGTTTTCCTCAAGAAAGAAATGAACGTATGCTATCGGAAATTCTATACCAATTTATCTCGCACCTAACACCCCACACCTACTTACAAAGCGAAAAAGAAACATTACAAAATATATTACATCCATCCTCTTCATTGTGAGTGTCTAAGAAGCATCCACAACATCGGGAACTAGAAGAGGCAATGCCTAAATAGGAAACACCATCAAAACATTAAAATTAAAGCGGAAGCTCACTAACCATAGATATTCTCATATCAATGAACCTTGGATAACAATTATCAACCTTCTTCTCTCTCTCTCTACTCT